CCAGGAGGGGGTGGGGGGAGGGGATGGTGGGGGGTGGTTCACTGTGACTTCTGATCCATCAGGGGGGGTTTCCTGCATAAAAATCTCCTACCAGTTGTGTTAAGAGTTTGGTTTGTAAGGCATTGAATGCTGCTCCCATTGAAATCAATCGCAAAATTTTAATGCATTTCAGTGGGAAGATCAGGTCCAGGGGGGATCCCACAGAAGAGGGTGGAAATCCCAGAATTATCCTTGCCCCCATTGTTACTGTGTTAAATATATCATCACGCTGATTTGTTACAGTTTTTGGAATCTTTCTGCCATTTTACTGCAACTCTTATTGACTTTAACTCCTCAACTAAGCTCAATGCCAGTGGTACACTGAGTATTCAGGAATTCAGGGTCCTGTGGAAGAGATTGCTTTTCTATCTGGTACTAAAATACTTTACTTGCCCTTCCCTCCCCCCCCCCAGTTTACTCATTAATCTGTGTTGACTAGGAAATAGTTAAAAACTGAGAAACCAGGCTAATGATAGAGTATACAGAGAGATGGGAACTGATTAGGAAAGGCATTTGGCCTGTTAAGACCCAGGAACAGACATAATACCAAGCAGGGCAGTCTGAGAGGCAGACTGTGTGCAGTGTGAATGCACACTGCAATGAGGCATGGCTCAGGGATTGAAGCCCAGCTGCAGGGGGTTAGAGAGTGGGGCCCACCTGCCTAAGAGCCCTGGGTCAGCTGAGAGGGATGACTGACTGGCTCCAGAGGAAATTAAAAGCTTACAGTTGGGAAAGAGGTGGCTGTGATGGTGAGTGACAGCACTGAGTCTGGGTTGCCTTTCTCCAGAGGTCTGAAGAAAGACCGGAGGTTTTACTTTTGTTTGTTATTTGTCTGTGGCTTATGTTGCTGCTTGCATCATTTTGTTGTGGGGACAAGCATCCCCCCTGTAACATAAATGGACTAGAACTAAGAGCTGACTGGGCTTTATAAGGAAACTTGCTCCTGGGTCGGGCTAAAGGAGGGGAAACCTGGTACATGCACCTTGTGTATAGCACAAAGAAGTAAAGTCTCTAGCTCAGCATTTTATTTACACTGAGGTTTCTGCTTTTAAATTCATGGTTACTTACAATGTGAATGAAACTCACCAAGGTCAAGTGACCAAGGGAAAAGTCCCATAGTGGGTTCATCTACACATGCAGTTAATGTGAAGCAATAAACTTTGGTGCATATTGAGTAGCAGTTTATTGCTCCTAGGCACCACATTTACGCATGCACCTGGGATCACAACACATTTAGCTGGGTCAGAGCAGCCCTCTTTGACTCGGCTCAATGCGTTGTGGAGCCCCTGTGCCGGCAGCCCCCACACTGAAGCACCCTTGTGCCCCAGCCAGCCCCATTAGTGTCTACACATTAAATAACACCACCACAGGATAGTACTTGTATTTACAAGTACTAACCTATGGCAGTGTTTATTAGTTTACTGTGACCTAATAGGGTTACGTGTGTACATATAGAGTCTTTACTGCAAAGCTAAGTAGGCAGCTCCACAGTAAAAGTCTCATGTAGACATGCCCAGTGAGAACTCTGGATCCTGCTAGCTTTTCACAGGGTGCATTTTTATGGAACATTGTATTCCCAGCACAGCTGCTTCATCAACACATTGTAAACAGAACAGGCTTGGGGCTAAATCTGTGCTAACTTTTCACTCACTAAAACCCCATTGGGCTGTAATGGGTTTGTAAATCAGGGCAGGACTTTGACTTTTAGCCTTTCTGGGTATAACTCCCACCCAAATGTCTGCTTTGCTGGGGAAGTTAGCATCAATTTCAAGTTCCCCACCAGATGGAAAATGCTGCTTGTTTCCTAAGCTGCTGCTATTGACTGTAAACAATGAATTGTTTTAACACCTCCACATTAATGAGCAACACATGCAGCTCAGTGAGGTTTATTTGTCAACACTGTCTGCTTAGGATCTTCACCTTTGAAGATGCTCACAATTACTTTTATTTCTTTCGCTTACTTTGTTGTTGTTGTTGTTTTTAAACAGGAAATTTTCCAGAAAAAAGATATTCACAGATTGGGAAATCTGGACTTAGTGGAACTGCATGCAGCTGTACAGGAGATAGGTGAGTAGGTAGCAAATATTGGCAGGTACTCACTTCCCCATAGAAGCCAGGCAACCCTCCAAACTGGGCTGGACTAAATGACCCTATGAGTTTTATGACTGTACAGCGGGGCAGAGGCAGACAAAATACACAGGTACCTATGTTGCTGATTGACCTGTGCTATTTCTGCTACTCTCTTGCTAGCTTCTCCCCGCCCCTGCCCCCCATAGTCCAGGAATCATTATCAGCTTCAGGAGACTCTTGTACTTGCATGATTTGAAGTATGAAGTATTGCTCCAACTTTGGATCCTGTACGCCTCAGACTCACAGCTGAGGACAAAGGTGATCACTCCATAGTTGACTTTCAATCAGGGACAGAAGTTTCTGTCTATAAAATCTACCTCCCCTGAAAGTCATGAATAACTGCACTGATTTTGTAGGCATATGATCATGGGCCAGATCCCCAGTGAGTATAATCTGGCACAGCTCCATCAAAGATGCTAAAGCTAATTCTGATTTTCAACAACTCAGGATCTGGCCTTTTTCTTGGTAACCTTTACACCCAGGCCACAAGAGCTACGAGTGACCTCCAGAACTCCAGACAGTATGAATATATATTTGATGATCAGGGTTATGTTTTACTCATCTTCAGTACTGGAAGATATTTGGGATGAATTCACCTGAATTTATCAGCAAAACAAAAAAAGCATGACTTGGAAAGATGAGGGAAGCTAGGAGATATGTTTTTCCAATAGTTTCAGCTAATTGCTTCTCTTAAACACACACAGTATATTACTGTTAAATAGGTAAACAGCTGCTATGACTTCAGTCAGAGATGGCTGCATGTCAGTGGTGGGTAAAGAGAACCACCATCTGTTACTTACACTACCACTTATGGAGGCTGAGAATAGAGATGATCAAACCACTTTAGTTTTGGGAAGGGGGTGGTATTTGGATCAAGATACTAGGGTTGGATTTATCCTTAGTTGTGAGTCTTAGGCAATGTTTGCAGCAAACTTCTCCTTCTGGTTTGTCTTTCTAAAGGAATCTCACTCAGCAATGAAGTCTGTAATCTGATGGCAATCCGATACGGCAACCCTGATCTGAAGATCAGCTTTGAGAGCTTTGTCTGCTTCATGCTGCGAGTGGAGATCATGGGGGGTAAGATTCTTGCTTGGCATGTCATTGCCACCGGACTGCGTGGTATTTTTGGAGCCTGTTCAGAACTATTCAACTCAGTGCTTTGGACTGCAAGGGTCAAGACATGGAGCCTAGTACCCTTCTTATGTAGACTGGAGTAATTGCACTGAAGCCAATGGAGTGAAAGGGAGGAGAACTGGGCCCTTTGCCTCTAATCTTCTTCCCATTATCTTCTCCAGAAACCAAAGCTAGACAAACTGGAGGGGGTCACTCATTTCCACGGGGAAAGTAGATCTTGAATGTAGAGTGGTAGTATGGGTTTGTGGAAGGGGTTAAGAGAATAACAAATGGAGGTTCTTCAGTACACAGAAAGGAGGGGAACCTGTGATGTGTCATAGAGAGAGGAACTGAGACCTCCTGACCACCAAGGGAAACAAAGAGAATAGAAATGACGGAGGTCCTGCTCTGTTCCACACGGCACTGGGGAATATTAAATATACATCACCCAAGCATTTCAGACAAGGCTAGACAGCATTATCTGGCCATGCTGTCTTAGACTAGGCAGGGTAACACAATCCTTAGATTTTATTCAGCTGCTCCCATGTTACTGTCCTGAAACAAGAAGTGGCTGGGCCCTAGTTACTGCCTTTGTGTTTGGGCAGGCAGCTTCATCCAGAGGTTGTGGAGTAGACCCAATGCTTTCTGAATGGGTTGAAGGCTCTGAGTTTCAGCTTGCCTCTGGGGTGGTGGGCTTCAGTTAACCTTTATCTAATTAGCATTGCATTAATTTCCTCCATCCCTCTCCTTCACAGAGGCCTTTCGCAACTTAACTAAAGATGGCAAAGGAATATATCTCCAGGAGTCTGAGGTAAGGTGCTGCACTTGTTTACTCCATGTAATGCAGAAAAGACTGTGTGTGTGTGTGTGTGTGTGTGTGTGTGTGTTTCTGTGGTCTCAAAATGTAATATACCTTTAACTGCTGTTGTAAGGGGCTTATTAGTTACTTGCCCTTGCTGGGTCATTGCTTTCCTGAAAAGTAGGTGTAAAAGCTCCCACTGTTAATCATGCCTCAGAATCCCCTCTGAGGCAGAAAGGATGATTATCTTCATAGTACTGGTGAGGGAGAAGAGGTGCAAGGAGACAAATTTCACTTAGGAGTTAGTGCCAAAGCCAAGAGAAAGACCAGTGGCCTCAAAATTTCAGGGGTTTTCATTGGCTACAAAACTATAACCAGTTTGCATTGGCTACAAGATGAATAGGTTTTTGTTCCTGCTTCAGCAGCCAAATTAGGGTCCCAGCAAAGTCAGTGGTGAAACACCCACTGATTCCAATATGGCAGGGTTCAGCACCATTTGAAATACGACCCCACCATTGTCATTCCCAGTTCTGAATGTTGCCTGAATGTTGCCAAAGTCCAATGGGATGGGCCAGTTCAGACCTCTTTCTTATTGCCTTACAGTGGATGATGATGACACTCTATTCATGATGCAAAGCAGTGGAACCTAGATGCACTGACCTACTCCGAGACATGGAAGTCTGCTTTTAATTAACTTGCTGTGCATATTGGACTCTTGTGCTGAATCCCTATTCATAGGAGCAATCAGTCTGAGGCTAGTGGGCTGACTTGCATGATAGCCAAAATGAATACGGATTGCTGGATAACACACCCTTGACTGAAGAATGTTTCTTGAAGAACTGTTTCTCCTATGAGCAGAATTGACTGTAGGATTCCATACTTGGTGAAACGAAGATTGGTTTTATACATCGTTGCAGAAATCTCTGCTGAAAGCCATATGTTAAACTGACTGACCTTATTATGGCTGGACTGAGGGACCAAGTGAATGCAAACTTTTGATTTTGTAATTCTTATCACCAGTTACTAGAATGAAATGTCCTCTAGAATGGCCTGATTTTCTAAGGCTCCCATATGCTCTTAAGGTTGATTGTAGCTGGAAACTACTCTCTCTCAGTTGGTATTAGCAATAATGATTTACATTATGGCCACATGTAGGAGTAGGCCCTGCTGGCTTTGGGCTGAATAGGCATGGGAGAGGGACAGTCTTTTGCTTGAATGGCTCATGACCAAAAGACACAAACACCATATTTCTTGCATACCACATACAAAAGTTCCCCAAAAATTAGCCCTCCAAAACTGGGGTGCATCTTGTAAGTGGGGAAGCTGATTTGCTGTGTGGAGTAGAAGCATTGGAGACATTGTAAAATAGCTCCTAATCCTTTTCCTTCTCTTCCCCCTCCCAGCACAGCGCATGCATGGAGGGACCAGGGTTGGAACAAACCAGTGCAACTGCTACCTTTTAGCATCAGCTACAGTTTGAAGCCTTTCACAGCTGAATTGGAGCAGGAGAGAGCTTAATCTTCAGCTCATTCACCTTTCCTGTCCTGCTTGGGCAACAGCAGCCAATTCAGCTGTGAGAAAGTTAAAACTGTAGCCTTTGCCTGACCAGGAAAGGGAAGGTAAATGATCTGAAGATTAGGAGCAGAGACAAGCCCATGCAGTATTAACTTCGGAAAAATCTTTGTGTCTTCCTTCTGCCTTCCCAAAAACAAGGTGTTGGGGGGGTGTGATATGCAAGAAAATAAAGTATTCAAATTCCACAACCTCCAGG